TGATGAAAATAACACAGTGATAATGGTAGTATCACTATCGAAAAAGAATAAGAGATAAATTTTAAAAAGTATAGAAAGAAAATAACGAAGTAGAGATGATAAAGAAATTGAAGAAAGAGAGAGGAAAAAGAAATTAAATGAAAGAGACATGAGAGAAAAAGAATAGGACCAATGAGATAGAGGAGAGAGAATAATTGAATGAAGAGAGATGATAAAGAAATTGAAGAAAGAAAGAGGAGAGAAAAATTAAATGAAGGGATAGAGGAGGGAGAAACAATGAGACAAAGAGAGAATGAGAATAATGAGACGAAAGAAATAGAAGAGAAAGAATATAATAGACGGAAGAGAGAGCCAAATGAGTTAATGAAGAAAATGATATTCTTGTCATTAAAAATATACAAGTCGACATGTGTGGACCACATGCCTCATATATTGCAATTATATATCTTTAATGATTTAAAATATTTGTGTACAAAACAGATTGAAATGGTGTACTACTGGCTTCCAATTTTCAATATATATTATGATGCACTTGAATTCTTGATATATATATACACACACACGCACGTAGAGTTTGAATTTAAATTCTTTAATTGTAAAAAAATTTAAAATTAAGATTATTTATCTCTCTCTCTAAACTTTTTTCTATGGTTTCTTAATTGGTTTTGTGAGAGCATTTATTTTGTTGTTGTGGGTATATTAGACATTTGTTTTCCAAATAGACTTTTACCCAAAATATATTTCCGCTTGAACTTCTAACCTAGTAAATGTTAAATGTCAAAACCAATAAACAAGAAATCAGAGCCAACGAGACCGCTGGAATAACCGAAGTGCAAGCAACCATTGGACTGAAGTTATACATAGGAAGAGAGAGAGAGAGAGAGAGAGAGAGAGAGAGAGAGAGAGAGAGAGAGAATTGTAGTTCTTTGAGGTTTTGAATTTTGACAGAGACAAAATGAGAGAGAGACTGGGGGGTCGGTGGCTGACTGGTGTTTGTTTGGATTTTTATTGTTCGAGTGGACTATGATAATAGAGAAGTGGGATGAATGAGGTATCTTTTCAAAATTCAAACGGTTAATTAATCCCTTAATTTAAGAGACATCTTATTTAATAAAATAGAATCAAAAAATTAGAAAACTGTCAAATCTAATATAAGTGAATTAAGGTAAGGACAATTACGTAATACAAAAATATAAAAATTAAAAATGTGTACCTAGTCACCAAATTTGTAAGAGTATATGAACTTATTGACTGGAAAGTCTGAGTCATATACTTTAAAACAATTAAGTTCCCTGGAGTATACCCCTCTCAATTTTCCCTTCGTCGTCTAAAAATATGGGCCTAAAACCGAGACTTTATCAGCTTTAAGGTTGGGCCGACCCTAATCGAGTTTTTTAAAAAAATTGAATTATTAAAGTGCCCACCCATAGATGCTCCTTTGTGTGACAGTTTGGTCCTCAATTCTTTAGGCTAAACAAAAATCGGATCTTCTTAAGCTTTATGGGCAACAATGTGTACCCCAAATCTGTCGCAGCCACTTCATCTATTCATTTCAGGTTGGAAATAGCATCAAAAAACCAGTAAAAGGTATCCAATGAAGAAAAGGACTTGAGTGTTTTGAATAATGGTATGAAAGAAATCTAAATCAATGTCCCAACTTTTGAAGCATGCATGCTCTACACTTTCACACTGTTATTGACCACAATTTCATAGCTTTTAAACTGGCATTCGTGTTCTCATCGAAACAAAAACAAAAAAACTACCATCCGTGACCGTGTGATTGTCAAAAATAGAACCAACTCAATCAGTCAGAATACCTCTGGTGACATTGTTTTCAAAGGTCAACACCACGAGTTCTTAAGTTTTGAGTATTATAAAAGATGTCCTCATTAATCCGTGTGTATGATTTGTACATAATTGTATAAATTTTAAACTTACAAATAGGGTTATTAATCAATTTACTCGAGTTTGACTCAAGTTTTGGCTCATTTTTCACTTGTTCAAGGCTGGTTCATTTTTTAAACGAATCAAATTTGAACAATTTTGTAGGCTCGTTTTGAAAACAAACTTGACAGACTCGACTCCTTTATGTGCAAATATTTGGGCTTGGCTCGGGTTCAACTTGTTCAGGATTCGTTCAAGTTGAGTTACTCAAGCTCGGCTCTAGTTCGGCTCGTTTTTAGCTTGTTCAAGCTCAACTTGTTTTTTAAACAATCCGAATTTGAACAATTTTATAAGTTCGTTTAGAAAACAAGCTCGATAGAATTGACTCGAACTTGACAGATTCGACTTATTTATGTACAAATGCTCGGGCTCGGTTAGGGGCAGAGCCAGAAAGTCATGTCAGGGTGGGCACAAATATTTCAACAAACTAATTTTTTTTTTTTTACAATTAATAGAAATAGGACAATAATTTATTGAACTTTATACAATCTTCAATATGATTTATAAAATTAAATTCCAAGCTTCAAAAATGATTAAAATATAATTTTTAGCCAAATCTTTTTTTTTTTTTTCAGTGAATGTGAATTCTGAGGATTCAAATCCATTCACATCCGTGTGTGGTGATGGTTTGTGAACACCTTTCATGATTACTTGGGACGAATGCGCGTGGAGCATATGATATGCCTAACTTTATTGCTTTTAGCAAAACACAAGACAATGCAAAATCCCACATGGATTTGTGCCAAAAACTAAGCAAACATTAAAACCACCAAAAAACAAAGGATTAAAATTACACTCGACTCCTGAAATTATTTGAAAATTGCACGGTGACTTTTCAAAATTTCCAAGATGACATTGGACTTTTGAGTAAAATATTTAGTATCATGATTACACAACGTCAACAGTATTACATGATATAATAATTCACTAATTAGTGAACAAGTGGGTAAATAAACCCTACCAAATTCAATAACCATCCATCCACACGGAAGATGATCACTCTCCCATGTAAAACAATGAGATTCACTTCATTTATTTTTAATTTTTTGTTGGACAGTACCATCTCATACACTTCTGAGGTGATGTAATCATCATTATATTGAATATTTACTCGAACTTTCAAGGAGACGAGAGTGTCCCGATAGGAGAAATTATTGAGTGAGGCTCACTAGTCAATAATTTTTTGTGCAAATTCACTTGTATATAATGAAACTCACCTGAATGCATGAGAAGTGATAGAATTGAAGAAAAAATATATTAGAGAATATCTCAATTGAAGGGGGGGTGCAAGCGTAATTCAAGTATAATATTGTGAAAATTTGACACAAATGGGCCATCAGCATATAAAAACGTGGCATAAAGAAACTTTCTATTAAATGCCCAATTTTTGTCCTCGGTACCCTTTACGATTTGTTTTTCTGACAGGTTATTTCTCTTCCCCGCCAAAATCATGGTCATCATTGTGTTGTGCATTTTGGGTAGCTTTTGAGTACAAGGGAAATGTAGGTCCACCAAAATATTTATTAAGTTTAGATCTCAATGATGTAATTTATTGATAGTTATGAAATGATTAATAAAAATTTATGAAACTTATTAATCTAATAATTAACAATAATTTAATATAAAAACTTTGAATTTTTTTTGTTTTTGATGAATTTAGCAGTTTTGCTATATCTTCTCTAGAGTCAAGTTTATTTCTTTAATGTTTAACCAACAATTGCCCACGCCACGAATCTTGTTATCCAGCTTAAAAAATAGGCCCAAAAGTAAATAGACGTAATAATTGCCCACGAGCTTAATATGTTTCAAGATATAGCTTAGACCTATCCCCAAGCTCATTATTTGGCCCAATAATTCGTCCAGTTAAAACCCAGCCCAAGAACTCGTCCGTCTAGTCCAGCCCAATGGGCCCATCCTAGATCAGTCAAAACATGAAAATAAATCTCTCAATATCGAAATTTAAAATTTTAAAAATTTAGATATTATAAATAATGTATTTTTTTGTTTCATGCGTTAAGCATACATGCTTTAAAGGGTAGAGTTTATGCAAATGATAGATAGATGGGTAGGTGTCAACTTAGTTGGAATGTATTTATTCTATTGTGATGCAGTTCCTCCTCTTATTTATAACTAAAATTATTTATTATTTGTTTTTTTTTATCAATTCTGACTCTATTTTTAATTCAAAAATATTAATCTACAAAAATATTCTTTATTTGTAAATGAAGTTGTATATAAAAAGTCCGTTCAATAGGCCCACGCCCATAGGCCCTCCCAACTGTACCTCTTGTAGGTCCATCAAGTGAATGACGAGTTGGATTGCGAAAACCTATTTCTGTTCGAAGTCCCTCTCGATCTGCACCGATAAACTCATTTGAATAAGATCTTTTTTTTTTTGGTGAGAGCATTCGGTATCTGAAAGTTACTTTGAGCTCCGATTAATCCGGATTCGAGCCTAGTAAGACCACAAGGGCGGCAAAGCTCTCCTTATCGAACGCAGCTGCGTTCCCAAGACTCGAACTCGAGACTTTGATTAAACTAAAACAATCCATCACCAACTTATCTAACACTCTATGGTTATTCGAATAAGTTCTTGGACCTATGATACTCATGCCCAAGCCTAAACAAATTTCTTAGGCTGATTTCGATTCAGCCCGTGGACACCCCTACCCATCGTTAAAACTTTCGACTAGAAAGTTGTCTATTGCTCTTGGGGTTGATTTTTTACGTTATTGTAACTTTGATGTATTTTGTTCTTCGATCCATTGTTTCACATAAAATATAGAGCAACGTTTATTGGATAAAAAATATTGGCATTTATCAATTTCTAATATCATTATCATTGATTTAACTTTATTTTAATATTTATTGAGGCCAATTATCTATTTAATGATTACAATTTGTGTCAATATTTTTTCTGTACAAATAACATTTTTTAAAAAAATATCGTCCACATTTTAATATTAGGATATTTTTGGTATATAACCAATAAAAATAAATTAAATATAACATTTAATATCTCTATCATTACATCAGCCCTAATCAAACGCAATTATCTGAAGTCCCCTTAAAACCCTCGCGCCTTCCCTCTCTCTCTCTCGGTCCAAAACTTAGCTCGCATTTTCAGTGAGAAAAACAGAGTTCGCGCCTCTCTCTTCCTACTCTATCCCCTATCCAAAACCCCAATTGCGCTTCTCGAACTCAGCCATGGCGGCAGATCCAACTCAGTTCCAGCTCGCTCAACTCGCCGCCGTCCTCGGCCACGACGCAACTCAATTCGAAGTTCTAATCACCACCCTTATGTCCACTTCCAACGATCAGCGATCCCAAGCCGAGTCTCTCTTCAACCTCTGCAAACAAACCCACCCAGATACCCTATCTCTCAAGCTCTGTCACGTGCTCTCCTCCTCCCCAAACCCCGAGTCACGTGCCATGTCCGCCGTTCTCCTTCGCAAACTCCTCACACCCAACAACACCAACGACAATTCCTTCCTCTTCCCCTCTTTATCTCCTCAAACCCAATTGACTCTCAAATCCTCTCTGTTGAATTCTATTGTCACCCAGACAGCGAAATCAATCAATAAGAAATTGTGCGACACTGTCTCGGAGCTTGCGGCTTCTCTATTACCCGAAAATCAATGGCCCGATTTCTTACCCTTTTTGTTTCAATGTGTAACATCTGATAATATGAAGAACCGTGAGAGTGCGTTGTTGATTTTTGCTCAATTGGCACAGTATATTGGGGAGACACTGAATTTACCTCTGGAGAATTTGCATTCGGTTCTATTGCAGTGTTTGGGAACAGGTATGGATTCGGATGTTCGAATTGCGGCGTTAGGGGCTGCTATTAATTTCATACAGTGTTTAGAAGGGAGAGTGTTGGACAAGTTTCGGGACTTGTTGCCATTGATGATGTCTACGTTGACGGAGGCTTTGAATTGTGGGAATGAGGCCGCGGCTAGTGAAGCATTGGAGTTGTTGATTGAGTTGGCGGGCACGGAGCCGAGGTTTTTGAGAAGGCAAATTGTGGAGGTTGTGGGGACAATGTTGCAGATTGCGGGGGCTGAGAGTTTGGAGGAGGGTACGAGGCATTTGGCCATTGAATTTGTTGTTACATTGGCTGAGGCAAGGGAGAGAGCTCCAGGGATGGTGAGGAAGATGCCTCAATTTGTGAGAAAATTGTTTGAAATTCTGATGAAGATGTTGGAGGATATTGAGGATGATCCTAAGTGGCACAATGCGGATAATGAGGATGATGAGGATGCGGGGGAGACAGGTAATTATGGGTTTGGACAGGAGTGTTTGGATAGGTTGTCGATTTCGTTGGGTGGGAATAGTATTTTGCCTGTTGCTTCGGAGGTGGTGCCAGTGTATTTGGCTGCTCCTGAGTGGCAAAAGCATCATGCAGCACTCATTGCGCTTGCACAGATTGCAGAGGGTTGCTCAAAGGTATCAGAGCTTTGCTCTTGGTATTCGGTCTTTTGTACATTTATTGGATATATTACTCAATGGTGTTTTTGATGTCCTTGTATGTGAATTGTTTACTTGTACTAAATATGTTTGTTTTATGATGGGTTTCTTTCAAAAATTATTCTACTTGTTTTCTTCATTGTAGTCTAATGTTAAGAACTAAGTATGATAGATTGACTGTAAAACATCATTCTGTGCTAAAGATTTTCTGAATACATTATTTGTTCTATATGTATTGTTGATACAGGTGATGATAACAAATTTAGAACAAGTGGTGTCAATGGTTTTGAACTCATTTCAAGATCCACATCCTCGCGTGCGGTGGGCAGCTGTCAATGCAATTGGGCAATTATCTACGGATCTGGGTCCTGACTTGCAAGTCCAATATCATCACCGGGTGCTGCCTGCATTAGCTGCAGCCATGGACGACTTCCAGAATCCAAGAGTACAGGTTAGTTGGCTTTAGCTTGATTTGATTTTTTTGTACTCTCAACCTGTTGGCCTTCTTAATGGATTAATGGACATCAAACATTTATAAGCAAGTCCACCTTCTGGTTCTTTTCTTTTACAAGAAAAGATGAGCGTTTTTCTTCTTCCTTCCTGATATATTTTCTTTTGTTCAAAGGGAAAACCGTCATTCTATTGGAGGTGTACCTTTGCGTTCTCCCATTTGTGCAGATTCTAGTCTGTAACTGTGATGAAAGAAAAGAACACTCAATGATTGTACTTTTTATTTTGTGTATTACAGGTTTAAGAGGTTTGCTACTTGGTGACCTTGTCAAGTAGTGTAACTGTGCAAGAATAATACATATTATACGACTGCAAATGTTTATACCATTGATAAGCCCAGTAATATTTCATAAATGTTTCCGGAAGCACTAGGCATACCCTAGGAAAGAAAAATTCTCAAAACTGATTCATTTCTGTTGTTCCTTTCTCCCTTCCTTCTTTGATTGGTCCCTTTCTGTTCTTGATGTATATTCTACGTCTCATTCTTGCAAATCGATAAGCTACAATCGGAACAGGCCTATGAATTTTCCAATGTCATCCAAGTATGCCTTATTTCATTGTGTATTGTAAACTGATGTGGGAATTTACTTTTGCAATTTTTATTATTGCTACGTGTGGTGGGTGTTTACTTTTCTTTGGGATCTTGGAACATGGGAGTGGGACTTTGGGAAAAGGAGGGCCAATGTGTAGTCCTGCAGACAATAGCACTGCATATTAAGATTACGAATGTGAGACATAAAAGACTACAATTCGATTTGAACCTTCACCCTTTTCTACTGGTCTTGGCTTCAGTCCTTTTGTTTTTGTGTGTTTTTGACTTGGAATTGCTTCTTCTTTGTTCGTATTTCACTTCTTTTGATTACAAGCAATGGCTTAGGAGTTAATGGAGTTTGTTGTGGTTATCATCATCTTCAGTACAGTTGTAGTCATCATTGTTTTGTTTCATGGTTTCCCGTAATTATTTGAGTTAAATTTATCTACTACATTCCTCCTTCTATGACTCAACAAAATAATACCATGTTTGATTCTTTGTTACGTTTCTGTTACAGGCCCATGCTGCTTCGGCAATTCTAAATTTTAGTGAAAATTGCACTGCAGACATCCTATTGCCTTACTTGGATGGGACGGTGGCCAAATTGCTTGTCCTGTTACAGGTATATCATCATTCCCCATTAAAGGCATTGGATGCACTGCATTTATCTCTGCATGTAAGTGTCAAAGCACTGCAAATGAGCAAACCCAGGTTGAGTATTAGTTTTTCTGAACGTCAGTTGTTCACTCAGTATAAAATTGGCATTAGCTATACTTGCTTGTTTATACTTATTTGTACGTAAACTGCATGCACATGAATTACTTAGGAGCAATGGGTATAAAAACCACATACCTAATTCATTTGCTGGCATGATGGTGTTAATTTGTCATTTATTTCCAATCCAGAATGGGAAGCAAATGGTGCAGGAGGGTGCTTTGACAGCATTGGCATCAGTTGCTGATTCGTCGCAGGTACTAGAGAATTTTTTCTTGGTTGTCAGCCTGTATTTTCATTAATCTTAATTTAATCTGACAGTGTATGAATTGCAGGATCATTTCCAAAAATACTATGATGCTGTTATGCCTTACTTGAAAGCTATTTTGGTGAATGCAACTGACAAGACTAATCGCATGCTTCGTGCCAAAGCCATGGAGTGCATTAGTTTGGTTGGAATGGCTGTTGGAAAGGACAAGTTTAGGGATGATGCTAAGCAGGTAATAATATATTCTATATTGGTTCTTGATGGGTATCATTTGATTAGACTCTCAAGCATAGAGAGCTGGAGAATTTTTAGGGTTATCATGATCTGAGCCTTATAATGTGCTCATTCTTTACTTTTTAGATTAGTGGATCTAATTCAATTAGAAGATGACAGCCTTTTGGTCACGTATGCATTCTGAGTTTGCAGTGTAGTCTTGCGGTCAATAGGCTCATATTCTAAAATTGCAGCTGATATGTGATGAATGTAAAACTGAATTATTTTTCATGTGGCATGAGAGACTGATGATTTGCATTTAAGGTTATGGAAGTCCTTATGACATTGCAAGGATCCCAATTGGAGGCCGACGATCCAACAACAAGTTACATGTTGCAAGTATGTTCCTACTGGTAGAGCAGATTATCGGAGTCATTATATGTTAATGTGCTGTTATCTTTTGAAGTATGTGTTCAGTTTGAATCAAGATAAATACATGTCTCTTTGTGTTGCAGGCATGGGCCAGACTTTGCAAGTGCCTTGGGCAGGATTTCCTCCCTTACATGAATGTTGTCATGCCCCCTTTGCTTCAATCTGCTCAACTGAAGCCAGATGTTACCATTTCATCTGCTGATTCAGACGCTGATATTGACGATTCTGATGATGAAAGGTTTGGAACTTAAATTGCCACAACACAATTTTAATAAGACTAGTTATTGCATACGTGCTTTGCACGTGAACCATGTTGAGTATGAAACACTTTTATATTACACTTTCAGATCATTTTCCCAAAAAATAAGTGTTGTCATATTATCTTCTTGATGATACACATGGGAAGCCACAGTTTTAGTCAGGTATTTAGATGTAAAATTCATTCTTTGAGCACAAGTTGTGACAAGTAGCTAACCTACATGCATAATCTATGAATCAACAAAAATCGTGTGAAAAGTGAGGGTACAATATTGTTGTCTGGATAGAAATAATTTAGAGGTTATTTTGAGGTAATCTTCCAGTGATTTGGAGGGCATTTGCTGCATTGTGTACTGCTCTTTCAAGGAGTGCAATTTTGCTACTCAGTCTAATAATATGGCTTATGGATCTTGATCAAGTCAGTTGATATGGGAGTGCAGCCACTTTGATTCTAATTCACTACTCCTTGAATGCAAACGAAATGCTTCTAAAATTTAATTTCTGAAAAACATTTATCTCTAGCGATGCATAAACTTCACTGCAATGGTATATTTTCTAGCTTCAAATTGACCCACGCCATTCAACTGCTTAACGTCATATGCATACACATTTTCCCAAAGAAGAAGGGAAATTCAAATAAAGACATAACCATAACTTTATTTTAACATCAGTATAGGACATCAAACAGAATCAAATACATATTATAATTTTGTATGTTTCTTATGCTCCAGTGAGGGGAAAAAATAGAGAGAAAAAGAATGAATAATGAGCAATGCTCTAACATTGTGACCTTATCCAGATGCCTCTCAATTTCTATGAGCAATTTTTATCTTTCATTGGCTTCTCTTACTCTCCTTCTTATTTTTATATTCCTCACACTCAAAGAAACCAAGCATTACATCACACTCAAATTTTGATACTCCCACACACAGTGTTGTTACATAGCTGTCAAGTAGATTGCACGATAGGGAAGTAATTTGTCATGGTAGGAAGCATTTTTAAGGGATACCAAATTCGTAAAATATATTGACAACCAATGTGCATGTGGCATTTCTTATTCTCAAGCAAAATGCTACGTCGCACTTATTTCGCTTTCCTTTTTATATAATGTAGTGGTTGATGATAAAAGAACATTATCTCACTAAAAGGACATAATTAAGACAATTACCATTTTTCAACCACCAATAATGATCGGATGATACTCCATCCAAGGAAATTGAAATTATGATTCAAATTATAGTAAGAAGATCAATGTTCGTAGATAAATATTCATATACAACACAAAACAAGATGAAAAATAGCGATTTTAAAAATAAAAGAATATACCATGATCTTCTGCAATATCCATTGAAGTCAACAAAGATCTCTCATGCATTCATTCTTTCACCAACCTCTTATGGCATATCAAATGCTTTATATTACATAGGTTTAAGCTCACATGAGCATGCCTCTATCAATATTTTCAGGGATTTGAACACATTTAGTAAAACCTAGTAGGATATCAAAGGATTCTAAATGCGGACCTTGTCTAAATGGCCACAACGTAGTCAATCCGATTCTATTTAGGTGAGAAGAATCCATCTTTCTGTATCTTGCAATTGCCTTTTTGTATGTTTCAATCTTAGACAAAAAAGAAATAATCATTCAAACTCCACTAAAGGTGTACTGCAAGGCAATGGCCTTGTTATGGTTACAAATTCACTTGAATGGGGTTAAAGGAAAAGTGACTTTATGAATACTCTCCAATCACTAAGACAATCATGGACACTAAATATAGATTCATGTATGAATTAGCAAATAATTACTTGGAAGATGAGCGGGTGTTTGTAATAAAAATGTTGTAAATTATTGGGTTTAGTAACACTTAATCAACTAATATTGTTATTATAATTAAAAAAGGGTAATATTGACATTATTTATTTTATTAATGCTATTATGGTCAATCAAATTTTTTTCTTTACTTTTGTTGACATTTTATAGTAGTATAGTTATAGTCATAAATTGTCATGTTCCTGTCATTTTAAGTTGGTGTGTGTGTGTGTGTGTGTGTGATTTTGGTGCTAAACTCAAATTAACATCCCCCCCCCTTCCTCCCCGGGGTGCGCCCTCTTCAGCAGGGCCAAGGGGATGTTTGGTATTTTCCATTTTTATTCTGGCTTTGTTGTTGAGATTCGAGAAGCAATGTGCTCAAGCCAACTATGTTTCTTGATTTAATGCTCATATTCTTGTTGCAGTGTTGAGACTATTACACTTGGGGATAAAAGGATAGGGATCAAGACAAGTGTTCTTGAGGAAAAGGCTACAGCTTGTAACATGCTGTGCTGCTATGCTGATGAGTTGAAGGAAGGGTTTTTTCCATGGATTGATCAGGTCAAATTTAACATGCCTAATTTGAATTGCCCCTTATCAAGCCTTGTAATTTAATGGTTGTTTAAGCATTTATAAACCATGCAGGTTGCCCCTACGTTGGTTCCGCTTCTAAAGTTTTATTTTCATGAAGAAGTTAGGAAGGCTGCTGTTTCAGGTATTAACTAAATTGACTGGAGTTTAGTGTCTGTGAGCGTCTGTATGTAGATTTTTGGGACTTTTCTAATGTTATCTTCTTACTTTGTGCATAGCCATGCCGGAGTTGCTGCGTTCAGCTAAGTTAGCAGTAGAGAAGGGGCAGTCTCAAGGTCACAATGACTCTTATATTAAGCAGTTATCTGATTACATCATACCTGCTTTAGTGGAGGCGTTACACAAGGTCTCCTGTGTTCGATTTAATTAATTTTTATACCCTTACAATGTAGATTAGTACTTTTTTTTAACTTTTCTTTCTAATGTTTTGAACAATGGAGTTTATGTTCTTTTATTAACCTGTTTGAACTGCATTTGACTTTCAGGAACCTGAGACAGAAATTTGTTCAAGCATGTTGGATTCTTTGAATGAATGCATACAGGTGTGTTACCCCATTCACCAGGATTCATTATCTATGTAGACTGAAACACTTAGGCCTCATTTGAATTGTGGTTATTTTAGTTGGGAATGGTAATCGCATTCCTAAATTCATTTTTTTTGATCAAGCATTCCTAAATTCATGGATTACCATGTTTGGGTAGCTAATGAACAACTAATCTACATTGGGAATGAAAGCCCTATTGGAATCAAATTCCATGGTGGGGAATCTTAGGTTCATCATCAATGGTGGTAATCTCATTCCCAAATTAATTGGACATTCTTGATAAAGGAAAAAAAATTCAAAATAAGACACCTTTGCAATATTTAGTTCATTTCTAAAGTCAAGCTCCCTTCTTAAAATCATGTTCCTTCCTAAAATAAAGTGCATTACTAAAAATAATAATAAAATAGATCTTCATTCCCATACTAGATTATTGATGATACCAAACACCAAATAATAGATTGCTACGATATTTGATACCCGGGTATCACTTTACTAGAAATAAGATACCCATCCCCGATTAGGATTACTGTCATCCAAATGGGGCTTTACTGATTTTTTCCGTTCCTTCATCACCATTGGCTTACTAAAAGTTGTGATATAGTTTTGATTTTCCAGAAATGGGCTATGTTAGTACTGAATTGTGTTGGTTTACCCTTTCTCATTTTACCTTGCTAAATTACATCCTTTTTTTTTGGCTCTTTGGTTAACTGCCAACTTGCTATCTTGAAAAATGCTTTCTTAATTCTTGGACATGATCAAACTCAATGATTCCTTGTGAAGTTGTCCCTTGTCCCTTGTACCTCATATCTCTTCTTCTCTCACATATCTTGTCAATAATGCAAGTGGATCTTTTATGGATCTCTAACTGATTTTATTAGGGGCTCAAATCGTGCTTTATCAGCACTATTTATCTTGTCTTGTCATCATATCAATTTCTATTATCTTTTTATTTAGTGCTCATTTCATAAACTAAAATTTTCCACCCTTCTCCGCTAGTTTCTTAGCTTGGAGCTTGCGGTTGCCATTACATGAATTTTTGTAAGCTTATCTGAATAGCACATTCTGTTCCAGATTTCTGGGCCTCTTCTGGACGAAAACCAAGTAAGGAGCATAGTGGAGGAGATTAAACAGGTCATTACAGCCAGTTCAACTAGGAAAAGAGAAAGAGCTGAGAGAGCCAAAGCAGAGGATTTTGATGCAGAGGAAGGCGAACTGCTAAAGGAAGAAGATGAGCAAGAAGAGGAACTTTTGGATCAAGTATGTCTCCAGAGCATGTTACTCATGCACATTAGGCTTGTATTTTTATGGATGCATTTTTCATCATTTGTGGAATCAAAACTATATCTCCATCTTCAACATATTTTCTTTATTATACAGGTTGGTGATTGCTTGGGCACTTTGATCAAAACGTTTAAGGCTTCTTTCTTGCCTTTCTTTGATGAACTATCGTCATATTTAACTCCTATGTGGGTAAGTTCCTTCAGAAAACTTAATTCATAACTACTACTCAGCTGTGCTTAAGTGATTTATCTGTACTTGCCTCTCGTCTCTGATAACCCATTTTGTGTGAGGAGTGTGTGCGTGCACGCACTTTTGTCTCAAATATTGAAAAGTTTCAACTCTGGGGCTGACAAAATCTTCCTTCTGTTTTCTAACATCTTCTAAATGCAGGGTAAGGATAGAACAGCTGAGGAGAGAAGAATTGCCATTTGTATATTTGATGATGTTGCTGAGCAATGTCGAGAAGCAGCTCTTAAGTAAGGGCTTCCATCTCAATTTAGTTTGATTAAAATAACGATAATTATTGGTCTCATTTCATTTATTCTTTGTTTTGCTGGAACAGATACTATGACACTTATCTTCCTTTCCTTCTGGAAGCATGCAATGATGAAAACGCGGATGTCCGCCAGGTTTGGTCCATAACTAATTTTGGATTTTAACCCCCTTTTGATCCACATGGATATCACTCACAAAAACATCTGATTGGGTTCAGGCAGCTGTTTATGGAATTGGGTTATGTGCAGAGTTTGGTGGATCTGTGTTCAGACCAGTTGTTGGGGGTAGCTTCCTTTCCTTTTGCATAGTTGTACTTTTTAGCGTTTCTTCAAACTATTAGTGTTCTTATTTATTTTGCCTTTCTGTAGAAGCTCTTTCCAGATTGGATGTGGTAATAAAACACCCTAATGCACTGCATTCAGATAGTGTGATGGCATATGACAATGCTGTTTCAGCTCTTGGAAAAATATTTCAATTTCATCGTGACTGTATAGATGCAGCAAAGGTACTTTATGTCTTTATTGCAATCCATCTTTTGATAGCTATCAATGTTGTATCATGTAACATCAATGTAATTTATCTAGCTAAGCGGTTGATTTTCTAGCCCTTCCAGAGGAGATTAGAATTGCTTTTGCTGTTGGTTTGCCATAGTCATGTTCAGAAACTGGATCAACTGATCATTTTCTTGCTTGTGCGATCATATCTTGTTACAACTTCATGAAGTACTGAATGTTGCCTTTTGGCCTAAATTTTAAAGCCGAAATGATTTACTTTGGCTTCTATCTACCCATGATGTGTGGAGTTGTATCTGTGGAGTTTTCTGCATTTGCTAAAGCAATTAATTTTTTCAGATGATTAAGAGCACCATAGCTACTACTGAAATCTGGCACAGAATCCATAATTTCTATGGGGAGGGCTATGCGGCTGTGCCAACCTAGAAAGCTTCTCTTCACATTCCAAGTAGTAGTAGCTTCACTCATTGCCTTGCATTAAAAAAATTACTTAATCAGTATCTTATTGTCCATGAGACCATGTAGCTCAGTGGAGAATGGAGAACCTATCCTTTGCTAAAGCATTCCTGTCCGTGAACCACCATTTGACTGCATGGGCTTTTCAGAAGGAACTCAAGGAAGAGTGCTTTCAAGGAGGGGCTAGTCTATGATTAGATACTCATAGCAAGTATAGGGATGTTAAAGATGAAGGTCTTTGCAAAGCATGTCCAATTTTGTTTGTTTTGCGAGTTCCGAAGAATTAAAGTTAATAACAAGTTGTTGAGAAAATCTTCCGATAGCATGACTTACTGTGTCTATTTAGCACTTTCAAAAGGTTAAGAATGATCTCATCAAACACAAAAGTCGTTGATATTATGTTACCTTCCTACTACAATTTTTTTTTTGCAATTTTCTTTTAAAATCAGCCTGGATGAATAGCAATCATTTGATAAATATTGCAGACCAATATAGTTAGGAGTTATAAATAACCAAGGGGTTGCTATGATTAGGGAGGTATTTTGTTTCGAACAAATGATTAGTAAGATACATTTTTTTGGGGAAGAGGGAGATACAACTATGTATACAGGAATTTTTTTTTTGCCCCTGTATGTTTAACACTTGCTGTTCCACTTGGCAGGTTATCCCTACATGGTTAAGTTGTTTGCCTATAAAGGGTGATTTGATTGAGGCCAAAGTTGTTCATGACCTGCTTTGTTCAATGGTGGAAAGGTAGGCACTTGAATATGTTTTAATTGGAATAATTTTGCTAAGATCTTGTGAATCTGACCTTTTGTCCAGTGTGTTAGTTTTCTTATTCTTTTTGGTAATTTTTGTTTATGTTGCTAAAAATGAAATTACATGTATTTGCAGGTCAGATGGGGAACTTTTAGGGCCCAACAATCAATATCTTCCAAAAATAGTTGCAGTGTTTGCTGAGGTATAGTCTTTCTTTTCTCTAATTTTCTGATTTGGTTTAGTTATACAATTACAATGTGGCACATATCGAATGAGTTGAAACTTCGTCGTAATATGTGCTGTTGTTTTACTGAATACATGCTATGTTTTGCTTTGTTGTATTCTTATTATTCTCACTTGGCCACTTTGGAGATCATATTCAGTGCCATATTTGATGGATTGTCATTAATATCACAATTCACAAATATCTTATGAGAACATGGGATAAAATTCCACAGACGGTTTTCTTTCTAAGATTTCTCATTCTTTATGGTTTATTGGACATTTGTTTAGCATATGCTAGCGTTTGTAAGACCAACAAGAGGGTTAAGTCCCATGTTGTCTATTATGCAAGGTTGACCACTCTATTGCAGGAATTTGACTACTACCAGAGTATTTAGGTGATATTCTATCCAAAGTTATGATTCAATTGTGTCAAGTCCAATATTTATGATCACACACAGGCATCAGATTTTGCAATTACATCAATCAAAACATGTGTGAAGTTGGAGGGCATTACCAACTGGTTCTGGAATCTGTCTAGGTTAAGAAGTTATTGCCGTTTAACTTGCGTAAACACTGGCTTCTCCAATGATGGGAGGGCAACACCAAGTTAGATCCTCAAACTCCTACTCAGAACTTCAAAGCAATCTCCGGATTTGATTTATGGAGCTAGTGAGTGGCAAGTGGCAGCTGGTTCAGCTGTGCTATCAAAAACTACCTTCTATGTGCTATTAGAGCCACTTGTCCCTTTTCCTTACCTCACATAGCTAATCCAATGGAAATACCTTAAAACAAACGAATATAAGCCCTGAAAGTCAGCAAGAAAACCTTCCATACTCAACCTCTTAATTCATAATAAAAAAAGGTCCTCTCTCTATAATAATAAGGTAATCATTAAAGCCCAGCAACTTGTTGACAGTAGGGACTGAAAGTTCCAGAAAGACCATGAAGTCATCTTGGCTTTGATAGTTTCAACCTAGACATTTTAGATTAAGCTTGGTATGAGCTTTCTTGTGATCGTGTTTATTCAATCAGCCCTGGATTTCTTCTGAAACTTGTCCAAATGACCTCGATCAAATTAAATTTTCTAGTAAGAATTCACATTTACCTCTTTAATATTTTCTTATTTCTTGCTGGAAGATATTGAAAAGATTTCCAGTCTGTGCTGTGTATTGAACAGAACTTGGTGTTGGGTCACTAATTACTAATGTTATATTTCTATCCCTATCTTGTATGAAGTGCAGTTCAATACGAAGTAACAACAACTTGCCTTGCTTACATTTGATATGGGAATTTTAGTTTCAATATCTGACTTTTTCACAATTCAATTTCCTATTTTTCATAACCCATGATATTTGGAAATGAATTTATGGCTTCAGCACCATATGATGTCATGAAACTGTAAATGTTGTATTGAAATCTGTGAGTGCGGTCTCTCACAAGGCTAGGGTAGAAAATATTAGTGTCCGGCATGATGAGCAGTCTGATCGAAATATAAATTTTTCTTCAAATGAATAGTATAACTAGCCTCAGAAAAAAACTATATTTCATCTTTGACAATTGGGTAATTTTAAATTTTAAATTAATTTGTTGGTGGTTGTCTATATATTTTGAGAGGAAAGATAGGACAAAAGATGCTAGTTTTTATTTGTTTGTAGCAGTCTTGTTGTAATGTAGTTCAGTGATGTATGTTTGTTTGGTATCACTCATATATCAACTGCACAATATTAGTTATTTAACATGACTAGTTGAAGGGAAATATCAAAATGCATGTTTTATTTTGAATAATCTATAATTTTAGCAATGTGATGGTATTGTTTCCTCCTCAAGTGATAAATGATTTTGACCCTGGGCCTCAAGTTTGAAAAAACTGTGGCTAGTGCAAGTAGTAGATTAAGAAAAAGATTGGTACATAAGATACATACAAGCAAAGATAAAAAGAGATGCGGCCGTTGGTTGTGTTGTAATTTCTGGGCAGGTTTACCTGTCTAAACTTCTGCTAGTTTTAATGTTAGACTTGTTCCTTTTCTTAAACGAAAAAATTGTTTCCTTTCTCCTTTACCTTTCTTTATGGGTCTTTTTGCCTTTTTGAATTGTTGATTTAGGTTCTTTGTGCGGGTAAAGATTTGGCATCAGAGCAAACTCTCAGTAGAATGATTAATCTACTAAGGCAGCTTCAGCAAACATTACCACCCGCTGCTCTTGCTTCAACCTGGTCATCCTTGCAGCCTAAGCAGCAGCTTACACTGCAATCCATCCTTTCTTCTTAGTTCCTATGCTATGTTTGGCATATTATCACTTCTCTTTGGGGGTGAAAGCTTTTTGTGTGGGGTCAGTTTGTATTATGCGTTTCAGTATCCATTCTTTTTCAATATATCTGATGTGCCTTTTTGCGTGCACTTTTTAAAATGCATACCTGCACTATTGATTGCATGGGGTTGAAAGTAACAGAGTTTTGGTATAAAATGTGTATATTACAAGCATTATTCATTGTATGTCATAAGATGAGGGAAAAGAACACGATTTGTAGTTGTCATTGTGAATCAAGAGTGTGTATGAGGTTGCGGCTTGCCATAGTCAAATTTTGTAGAACTGCTGTTGTTTGCTCGAGTATGTAAACACTTGCACTCTATTGTATTGGTTTCTTATCCTTTTCTGTTTGGTTCCTCTTTTGTGCCTTAATATTTTTTTCTCTGTATCACCATCTTTGCTTCGTTAGCTTTTGATGCTTCCTGGATTATAATGTTGTATTTTCAAATTCGGTGTTAACTTGGATTGGCTCTTTGTACTTGCTTGGCTATCTCCATCTGGTTTTCTGATTTAAATACTGTGATTGTTCTCACAAATAGGGCTAATATTTGGCTGTTTAGACCATCTATGTTGTTGGCTGCTTTAAAAAATGTGTAATTGTGCTCAACTTTGGCTGTAAATGTGTCTAAATTTTTATCATAAATGCTACCCCTCGATAGAGCACAATGGAGATAGCCAAGCAAGAACACACGATTCATGTAGCTGACACCTAATAGTTGGTTGGGTTGTATTTATTTTCCCTTGTAAGTGCATTGAATTCAGGCTCTAATTTTAGCCCTGCTAACATTGCTGTTGTTTGTGCATAACTGCATATGCTGGAACATGATTATTCAGTGTCTATTAGGGAAATTACTTGCACCAAAAAAAAAAAAAAAAGGTAATTGGTATGTTGTCCAAGTTTGCTTTTTACGCAGTTATACGTATATGTTTTTTTTGACAATTTTACTCAAATATTTAGAAAAAAAGTGCCTTGTTTTGGTAAAGTATGAAGGGTTAATGTTGTCAAAATGTATTTTTTTTTTTTTTTTTGGATGAATACCCATAATAGGATTCATGCATATTATGAACATATTTTACTTTACATCATGTTGCGGTTGCAAGAGCCTCAGAAGATCAACAAGTCCAGTCGGCAAGTGTATAGTTTTCTAATACATAGATGTTTTTCAGTGTACTTTTCCTCATCTTCAAATATAGTGGATCTTTTCAGTTATAACACTCACTAATACACATTGGGTTCGTTTGATAGACGTATTATGAGGGAATTAAATATTAGATTGTACTATTTTTTATTTAATTGAGCCTAATATTTTGTTTGGTAAGTAATTTTAATACCGTATTAATTTTAAAAATTTATATTGATCGTATTATTCTACTATTCTATTTAATCTTGTTTTTTGTCTTTTTGTATTGTATTAGACTGTATTATTATATCTAATTTAGCCATTTTTAATACGGCAACTAAACGCGTCCAGTGGATATTAGCAAACTTATAGGCGCTGTTTGGTATGTGGGTTTGGGGGGGGGGGTTTGGAACATGGGTTGGGGCCTAAATTTCATCAAACCATGTTTGTTAACTATAGATTTAGCCTAGGGTTTGAAATTTGACCCGATCATGAACTCTTGTTAATGGGTTTCATGAAACCCATAGGGGGTGGGTTTCATATGTGGGTTTGGGGGTGTCATATTTAAATGATATTTATATTTCCTATATATTCATACTTATGTCTGGATTAAATTAGTTAAAGGGCAAAATAGTTATTTAAATATAAATATATTATCATAATAGTCATATATTTCTGCGTATACCAAACATGGGTATGGACAACATTGAATATGAAATTCCTTCTGTGAATTTCATTTTTGGTCAAACTCAAGGTTGAATAAGCCAATCTAAATCTCTCTCAAAAAATATACCAGACAGGCCCATATGGGTTCATTCATCCTTAGAGTTGTGTTCCATGCCATCCTTATTTTGATTAAATGTGAATGCTCCTTCTTTCTTATTTTTTTATGGAAATAGAAGGCGTATGTATGATATCATGAGACCCATTAATCAACAATTTTCTTCGATAATTTATTTTAAGAATTGATGTCTGAGCGGTTGCTGTCTGGACAAAGAAAAAAAAAGAAAGATTCTTGTGAATGAATAGGTCATAAATGACATATTCATGGTTGTCCCCTTGTAGTGTTAAAATAAAATACATGCAAAATTTAGGGTCAAATACATAGTTCCTGCCTTGGTGGGTCCCCAACACAGTATTCCCAAGGAGGCATCTTTTCAAGTGCAGACAGCTTTTATTTTAATTTATATTTTTAAATGGAAATCACCAAACATGAAAATACGAAAGTGACATTTTTAGTCTTCTCTTTGCATCTGAGAATCAAACAAATTGTCACAGGAAATGCCACACATTTGGTGAGCAGCTTCCATCTATAGTCATCATTGTTTGCCTAGTTGAAGAAGCAGGGTTGTACAATGCTTAATGCATTAATTCCATTTTTAACCAACTCTTGCAAAAGATTTTGACCTCAATTCGAATTGGGGGCCAAAAATTAAGATGAATTTGACGAAATCTCCATTTGTTATTCTTTTATTGAGAAATTTCGTTTATGTTGAATTCGGAACACATGATTCCTTATTCAGAATGGATGAAACATGTCCCATACCTCCTGAAAATCAAATCTCTTAACTTTTTTTCAATTTAATGCCGGAGATGATGCATCGGCTTATTTGCCTTTCTAGTAAGATATTTGTAAGTTTTTCAATAAAGATAAACTTGTAGTAAGTTATTATCGGATAAAACTAAAAAGGAGCGCTTTTGTACTCCTTTTTTCCTATGAACTTCCCAACGCCGCCTTCAACCCAAAAACCCCAACCTTCCTTTCTTCCCCTGCCCAAGTTACCATCGTTTTTTCCCCTATTTGGTCTTTCTTTCTAGTGTAGATTTATTGGTGGGTTATGTATTTGGCGGAGGTGAAGATTGTAGCTCAATTGTCATGTGAATTTTTCAAAAGGTGGTGGTTTATGTTATAGTTGCGGTGGTGATAATAGGGGTACATTAGCCTCGAGTGGGCAAGGGGGTGTGATTGGCTTGAGGGTACGTGGAGGGTTAGGTAAGAAGTGGAAGTGTCCAACAAAAGGAGGATTTACAATTGAATTTAATTTTAAAATCAAGGTTGAGGGTTATGTTGGAAAGTAAATATAAGTTTGTACATTGAAGATGTTGCTACCAAATATATAAATTCACTTCTTGACACAAATGCACTTACAAAATGTATATTCACCAAACAAACAATATTTTTTTTAAGTTGATCTTAAGAAGTTCATCTCATAAAGTTCATTCTTAAATTAGGTTTTTACTTTGAGAAGTTATGTCAAATACAACCTTATTTTTTGGAGGGTCAATTTTGTTCTCTCTTGCAATGTCATTAATAGTGATATGGTATTATCGTTGCATTCAATATTATTCGTAAAAAAGATAGACAAAAGTATTTTTAAGACTGCCTGAAATGAGGGTGGTTTATGGAACTCACTAAGGAGAACGCTAAAAGTACTCTCCCAAATTATAAGTGTGCCCATAGCTTGAAGGGTATGATCTCGGTAGAGCTAATAATCGAGTCGAGTCTATCGAGGTCATTTTTTTAAACGTGCCTACAAAATTGTTCAAGTTCGTCTTGTTTAGAAAATGAGTTGAGTCAGAGCTGAGTCAAACTTGAGCCAAGTTTGAGTAGCTCGACTATTATAAACGAGTCAAACTTTACGAACTCGAACTGAGACCAAGTAACTCGACTATTTTACGTATAAGCGAACCGAGTTTTTAAAAATTATTTTGAGTTCATTTAGAACACAAGCTAAACTTGAATCGAATCTTATCCAAATCCGAGTAACTCGACTCAATTTTAAGCCCTAGACCTCGGTGATAAAATATCTTAAGAGTACGTGTAATTTGCAATTTATTTCATAAATCTACACTATATGTTTTGAGACAAAGAATGTTTGTTTGACATTAAGTTATAGAAGAAAACATCATTTTCAAAAGCGAGAGTAATTTATGTCTAATTATCTGTTTATTACCTAATTTAAGCGACAAAGCATGCCTAAGGCGATGTAATTAGAGGGTAGAACAAACCCAGCGTGAACGATAAGATTTATTGGTTTATGTCTAAATAGGTCATTATCTCTTAAAAGTTTGGGTTTAGACCTTAGTGTTTTGGGATTATCTAAGACTTCTAGAATGCCTCCAAGTGGCAGCCATTGGTGCCTGCACGGCATTCCTCTCTCATGTTTGACTTAGTTTTTGACAGAAGATAAGTTAGGGGACAAGGACAATGAGATTTCAACCCCATACCTATATTAAAATTTTTTTTTTTAGTTGAACTACGAAGATGTTTAGATAAATTTATGTATATTTTGATTAATTTTTCTTTAGTTTGGTTAAAAATCGACTATTCATATCAAAATTAAAGTATTTATAAGGATTAAATTCCTCATGACCTTATACCAAAGAATTATTAAAATTCAAACTTGAGATATCTGAATTTACAGCTCGTTTTTATTATTATTTGAACTACCCTATTTAGAAATATTTTATCAAATATTTTTTTTCACATTTGTGTTTCAATGTTTTTTTTCTCTATTGGATGTCCTCTTGGCTCTCGTGTCCTCCTAATCACTATTACCTATTTTTTTTTATTTGGTTTGAAAGAAAGAATTTAGTATTTGAGTGCGTACGAAATACATTAAAATGATACTTTGTTCAAATAAAAAAACCACAATTTTATACTCTTTTATTTTTGTTTCATGAGATCTTTTGATCTTTTTTTTGGTCAGAAACATACAGAGCATACAAGTGAAAAGAGGATTAGTATATTTATAATACACTAAGGTAATGAGTATCATTTAATCCTCTCATAATACGCTTATCGAGTGAGCCAATTATACACAAAATAATGGATACTAGGAAAATAGAAGAGGAATCTAGCAAAATAGAGTCATGTATTTGGATTTAGTAAACGCCCAGTTGCCATTCACAACCATAAAAACGAACCCAGGGGTATAAATGCATTTCAAGGAAAAAACTTCATAGCAATAATGTATGGTAGAATAAGTCAATCTTGAAGGGATTGTTTGCCCTACATGGTCTACCACAAGAGAACAACCACAAAACAACAGCAGAGAAAATAAACTTGTTACATCAGCCCAAACACATCCTAGAAAACTCTATATATACATTGAGGTACATTACCAACTAAAAAAACAAGGACATTTTGACAACTCCTGTCTCTCCCTTCACAATAAAACCAATCTCTCTCTCTCTCTCTCTCAATGGAAATTCAATTCCAAAAGCAGCAAAAAGGAGGAATTCAAGTGAGCAAATTTAAGGGGCGAAGCCGAAGTAATGGCAATAACAAACTTATAGGGGTGAGACAAAGGCCTTCTGGGAGATGGGTAGCTGAGATCAAAGACACAACACAAAAGATCAGAATGTGGCTTGGAACATTTGAAACTGCAGAAGAAGCTGCTCGTGCCTACGATGAGGCTGCTTGTCTTCTTCGTGGATCCAATGCTCGAACGAACTACATTAACACCCATGTCTCTGCTGATTCTCCTCTCGCTTCTCGAATTCAAAAACTTCTAAACAGCAAAAAAAATTCAAAACAGCAGAGTCCAGATGTATCTATCTCTACTGGCAGTAACACCATTCAAAGTACTAGCACTACTAGTAGTCCCACTACTAGTGATGATACTACTGGTTGTGATCAATCCATTAGTAGTGGTGACTCTCTTTTTAATGTTGAGAAGCAAGATTCCCAGTTGTTTGATGATGCATATAAGCCTGATTTGAGCAATTTCTGCAATGAATTCAACTTGGGCTCGGGCTCTTCTCAATCTGATATGTCATGGGGTTTTGGACACGGGTTTGATCGATCTCCCTTTACTCAAGAGATGTTGGAATTGCCTGAAACAAATGAAGTAGAAGAATTCTCAGAATTCGAGCGCATGAAGGTTGAAAGACAGATATCAGCATCGCTTTATGCAATGAATGGAGTGCATGAGTATATGGAAACTGTCCATGATCCTATTGAAGCTTTTTGGGACCTTCCTCCTTTAGGTTCATTGTTGTGCTAAACTTGATTGTTTCTGCAACCTTGAAATCTCCTTTTTCTATCCTTTGTGTGTGTGTGGGGGGGGGGGGGGGGGGGGGGCGCGCTTTGTTGAAGATTCTGCAGAGACCATTTAGTTTTAGGACTGTATACATTATACAAGGTTATAATGACAAAGAGGATACAAGGATAGAAAATTCTCTTTGTATCTCGTTCTTATATATGTTTGTTGGCAATTACAGATGTTTTCAATAATTGCAGATTATGTGAGACAATCTACTGTATATACATTTTGAGATCCAGTAAGGAGATATCAAATCCCTACAATCAGCATCTACTAATTGCAGACATGACTAGTTAATATCTATAGGAATCAACCTCTCTATATATAGTTACGGAGGCCGAAGAATTTTATTCCTTAAAAGGTGTAGTGTATTGAGATGTGTGCATTGCCTCCATGTGTAGACAGAGTTTACAATTTATAGGTATTTGAAGTTGCTTCTGCGAGGCTCTGATTAAGGTGTCATCCTCGTAATTGATTTCGTGAAACTCGTCTTATCGCGTAACGGGCGAAGGGATCTCGCGAGATTTGCGATGTGCTATCGATAACTGCATCCCACAGACCTTACTGAATTTTCTTGATCTGATGATGAGTTTGGCCTATATATTTGAGTTAAACCTGGTCTGCATCTCTTATTTGAGTCTGGCCCATCATTTGTGATCTAGGCCGGCCCAATACCTTGTACCGACACTGTCCAAAAAAATAAGAAAAAAAGAATTCTTCATAAACCAGAGAAATCATTTTCTTATTTATGTTTTTTACAATGATAATTGGCTACAGTTCCGCACTTATTAATTAGAATTAGTGAGTCTGTTTGCTCTCTTTTTCTATTTTCTTTCTTCCTATTCTTTTTTTTTTTTTGTAAATAATAACAAAACTGCAAGAGGATATAATCTTTTGCATGCATACTTTCGAATTAAAAGTGTATTTTACCTTTAGTTTTAATTTGATCTCTCAATTTAGTTTCTCAACTATTAATTTTATATTAATTAAATTATTCCATTAATTTTTGAAAATTGATTTATTTGAGATAAAATTAATAGTTTTGGGATTAAATTAAAATAATTAAAAATTTAAAGTCCAAATTAAAATTAAAGATAAAGTTCTTGGATAACTATAATTTTCACCCCAAAAAAAAAAAAAATAGATAATGACGAGGTGGCTCGTACCATTTGGGACGAAGGTTTCCGCAGAAAAGAAGAGAATGAACTAAAAACAGACAAGAGACGAAGAGGCTGCCAATGGGCACTATGAAAGCGGTGGCTATCATCTCCGGCGATAACAATGTTAGAGGCTCTCTCCAGTTCCTTCAGGATCCCAACGGTCCTCTCTCTCTCTCTCTCTCTCTCTCTCTGTGTTGTTTGATTGCTTCATTGTTTTGGCTTTTGTTAACTATACTTTTTTGATTGCATACACAAACACAAATATATATAGGAGCTACCCATGTGAAAGGAAAGATAACAGGACTCACTCCAGGCCTACATGGGTTTCACATCCACGCCCTCGGTGACACCACCAATGGCTGCAATTCCACTGGTCTCATTTCTTTCCTCCTTTGTTTTCAATTCATGTGACCTCATACTTGAATTACAGATCAAAATCAAGTTCCTTTGTCTTGGGTGTAAATTCAATTCTTAATTAAAGGCTTTTATAGAGTATGATCGGAATGAATGGCATAGACGGAATCATATAGACCTTGAACATAAGGCTTGGTTTGGTTTGGTTTGTTGGTGGGTTTTGCTAGGTAATTGTGTTTTGGTTTCTGATAAAAAAGTATTTTGTATTTCATGTTAGGACCTCATTTTAATCCACTAAAGAAGAATCATGGAGCTCCTAGTGATGGAGAGCGACACGCGGGTGATTTAGGCAACATTATTGCTGGCACAGACGGTATATTCAGTTTCTTTATTGAAATTATTCCTACTAATAATCTGAGAGTGGATTTATTGAGTATTTTGTTCACTGATGTATATGGGCCAATTTGGCATTATAGGTGTTGCTGAAGTTTCTGTTAGAGACATACAGGTATATGATTTTTAAGGGTGCAATCGGACCCTTTCTAAATAAAGCAGTTTTCTATTTGTTTCCATAACATTTGAGGAACTCATATCTATTCCTTTGAAGGCTTAATCAACATTTCCAGAAACTCTTAAAATGTTTTTTTGGCAAAGAGGAATTGCCACCAAAACACGTCCATTGGACTTTTTGCTGCAATGCAAATATCGGATGTGTGCAATTACCCGCAAATCAAACACTTCGGGGAAACCTGGATTTTATGCAGGTTTTAGGACTCGACACAGAATGTGCAAGTTTATGTCTTGTTCTTTGTTCACCACTGAATCAACCCAAGTTTGTGTTCTTAAAATGCTGTCACAGAAAGTTGAGTGTGCACTTGTTTCAGATGGTAGAGAAAAAGAAAGCAATGATTTCAAATGCTATATAAAACAGCTTAAATTCGTATCTTGCGACTACCTGAAGAAGAAAATTCTTATTTGTCTGCACTTATCTCTCATTTATAGATACCTTTAAGTGGGCAGCACTCCATATTGGGCAGGGCAGTGGTGGTGCATGCTGATCCTGACGATCTGGGAAGAGGTATGGATCTTCAATAAACATACTACGTGTTTGAGGTTGATGGGTGCAACACAGTTTTCTCAGCAAATTTGTTATGTTATGTTATATTAGGATGTGTAACCCTTGGGGGTATTTTTAGTACTTTGTGGTTATATATATTGGGATGTAGCTGTGTAAACCTAACACATTACTTTCTTTCCATAATCTTCTTCTCTCTTTGGGATTCTTGCTCTTGTGTCAAGTTGAATGCTTACTTGAGAAGTTTTTACAATACAGAACAGAAGTTTGAATAATACGGAGCATAAGTGCAGCAAACTAGTTGTTGGGCAATATTCGTACTTGCTCAAAAATGAAATTTAGTAGAATTTGTGCACATGACATTATACCAATCTGATTCATGTGTGTGGCATACTTCCATGAACTTATCTTTGACTTTTACTGCATTCTTCTTTGAAGTGGTGCTGATCCCTCTGATCCCTGTATAGTACAGCATGGTTGCAGATGATATCAATAACAGAATGGTGTATGATTATGGCAGCTGCTTTATTATGCCATACTATTATGAATTTTCCCTGTGTCTTGATTCTCTCATGATGGGGATAGTACGGCAAGGTTTTGTTGGATGATGGATGTACGCGTACATCCATTTTAGTTCTTTGTGATGATCAAATACATGCCTCGTTTCATTTGTAGGTTCAATTGCATCGTTATTTCCCATTGTATTTTTTTTAGTTTCGTGCTTCCTATGCTGTCAGGTTTCTAAATGAGTGAATTCTATGGAACTTATCTCACATATAAAATGGCGGCAAATTTACCACAATATATTGTCATTTAACTAAATAGAATAATTTTTTGCAACAGGTGGACATGAACTTAGCAAGACAACTGGAAATGCAGGTGCAAGAGTCAGTTGTGGTAATTACATTTTTTTTTTCTGTCTTCCCAGGTTTTGGTATTTATGTGATCTTGGACTTCTTGCCATTGTCACACTAAAATATTTGCTGGGAGAAAACCCTAAAAGATGAGGCTGATGGAGTGATAGGTTGATTTCACAACATGATCATTCCGTTTTGTTGGTTAATATGATCATGCTCCATTAAGGGGACAAAATCCGGAAACCATGTTAAAGTAGCTTTTACCATGGTACCTTGTAGACAGCTTCTGTTTAGCAACCAATAAGTTAAAAACAAAAAACAAACTAAAAAAGGTCTTCAGAATCAATTTCATATCAACTCTATGAAACTGTACTTCTGAGATCCGACTGTATTTCAGTCTAATCTTATGTTATGACTAGCATAATGACATTTTGACACGTATTATCATGGATCTGCATAGAAGATGATGAAAACACCGTGGTATGGTGTCGAAGGAGAAGAAATAACAAAATTAGGGAAGTATCCGAAAAATGTGTTGGTGGAAATTTTCCACCTTTTTTGCCCCAAGAATAGGGTTATGTTTCCATAGAACATTAGTTGATCATGTCTTCATAATCAAATGTCAGATCATTTTTGTTTCTCCTTCATTTGTGGGAGGTTGAACTTATTGAATATTGAGTTTAACATTCTTTTCCTGCGTCTGCATGTATTAGGAAGCTGAAAATTTTCACCTGTGTTGGACAGGTATCATCGGGCTTCAGTCGTCTGTTTAGCTGACTTGCCCACATCTTGTTCTTGTATAGTGCCATCATCCATAATACTTGGATACAATGTATAATTGTGACTATTAATCCCTCTTCATGTGGTAGAATTAAATAAGAAAATTATGGATTGTTGTGGCATGAGATCATGTTTTGGTAATGGTATTTTATGCACTGACCAAGATTTCAGCTTATGCTGTTATACTGTTTGTTTGTGAGGTTCACAGTTATTACTGAGGAGATATAAACTTCAGACTCTGCAACTCCTGAATATCTTTTGTTTGGTTACCTGTAATGTGAGGAGGATATTTATAGTCTTTGTTGGGACAATTTTTTCTGTGTATCTACACCAGGTGCGTGGCAGAGCCAGATGGTGTACATATATTATCGTATATTTTCTATTAATTGTTGGCACTTGTAAATTTGTTGGAAGTCAGAAAAAAAAAAAAAAGGAAAAAAAAATTGATCTCAAGGTCCACCTGAGTGTCAACACTTTTTAGTTTAAGATGAGACACTTCTTTTTGGAGAGGAGATTTCACATGCAATGTCGGTGACCTAGAGAATAGAGTTGCGCTCTTGATTACCATGTTTCCGGCATGGTTATATTTAGTTGATCTTCCGTTTCCATTTGTGAGTGGCTCTTTTTTTGTTTTTTGGACAACTTGGGGTTAGGAAAGGTCATCCCTTACTCCATTCTTTCCTCAAGTCAGGAATAACAAGATGACGTCTTACTCGAAGGTAATCCCTTATTATATTCCTTCCTAAAGTCAAGAATGACGGGACGAGAACTCGAAGGTCATTCTTAACTCTATTTCTTCTTAAGTTGGACGGGAGGTGGTGGGTCTCAATTCGACAACATCCCTAGACACACTTATACCAACGCGACCGTAACTCTATACTCTCAGAAAAAGGGTATGAGAGACAACAAAAACTCGTTTTTTAAAGTCAAATATCATCCTTTATTTCATTCTTTCTAAGAGGTTTTTTCTTGAGTTAAATCCAAGAGAGACTCTTTTTTCTAAAATGGACGGACGACTTGTGCTAGTTTAATAGTGCCCGTAGAAATACTAAAGGGATTGTTTCTACCACTTAGAGTGAGTGACCAATTTAGATAGGTCATTTCACTCGCTTTTAGTATGTTAATTTATCTCGAAGTTCAAGGATTGAACTTTTGCTTAACACAATTAAGTTTTTGTGTTTCCCATACCTGAGGGGTGGTGAATCAGAGAGCTGAGAACAGCCCTCAGGGTGGCGGGTTCCCCTGGTGCAAACAAACCATTCACTAGAGACTTAGCTCAATGGCTATCACTAGAGATGCGCCAAGTTAGTCGCATGGAATCTTCCAAGTTCTCTTTCCCCTTTGATTTTATAACTTGGATGACTTGTTTGCTTTTTTTTCCAATCTTAAATGCAAAAATATCATATTATTATAATATAAATAATAGTATTATTATAATTTAATCAGTTTTTTTGACAAAAATATAATAAATTTATAATATAATTAGATATAAAAATACTCAATAATGAAGAAAAAATGTCTAATGAGTTAGAGAAATATTTAAATAAATGACAAATTAAATACTCAAAGAGTGATAAAGTAGGTCAATACTTAAGTTTAATAATAATTAAAATAACAATTAATTATTTTACACATAATTTATTATTTAAATATATTCACGTATAACATACGTTATACATCGCTAATATGTTAAAATTTGGCATTCAGTTACGGTTACACAATATCATACCATACCTATATTTTTAATTCAATAAAGATATAGCACATTTAAAGGTTTTTTGTTTTTTTTTTTTTTTAAATTCTGCTATTCTGTCTACTTTAGTTAGAAAAACCCTTAGATCAAAATTTACTGTCCACTCCTTTGATGGTCATGATTCCAATACCCCTGCGGCGGTAATAGTCTTTATGAATCAAATATTACTGGAAAGGCTGAATGTTCACCTTATCTTTGATAGTTCCGTAATGACAAGCTCAACGATCTCAGATATTCCTCCTGCCCAAACCCCATTAAATTTTGGGGCAGAATTAAGAAAATGTTTTGTTTAGGGGTCTCATCAAAATAGGACTTTAAAAGGTCAGAGGCAAACTGTCTATTTTATCTTTTTCTATTTCGGACAGGGAGAGAGAGAGAGATCACCGACTCCGGCGGGAGACTATTTGAAAGAGAGAGAAAGGAGAAGTTGTTGGTGTGGATTCCAAAATACTTGCCCTTTTCCATCTTTCTTGTTTGTTGTGAGTCTTCCTTCTTCTTCTTCTTCGTGTAATTGATTTCTCCAATGGTGGCATCGATAAGGTCAGCTCTATTGCTCTGCTTCTTAGCCGTTTCTTCGCTACGATGCGTCTCATCATCATCACCACCACCACCTTCTATGCGCCATCAGCCATCGGAAACGTTGTTCTTCAACACTCTCCAATCCCAGTGCCCTTTGTCCTATTCTCCCAATTCGCCTCTCGAGGTATTTCACAGCAACTTTACCATTATATGCGTGTTGCATATATTTAAATTTACCCTTCGGATGTTCATTTTGTGAATTGCTGCATGAAACACTCTGTGAATTGTAGCGATTTTGTTGGGTTTCTTGACTGTTAAAAGGGGGGGGGGGGGGTTTCTTGAAATTCAATGTTGGTTTCAATCGATTTTTTTTTTTTAATCTTTGCGGTGTTAATCGGTTTGTTGACATATTCTTGGTATGCCCTGATTTTTGGACACGATCACTATACTTATAAAAAAAAAGTTTTCAAGAGAATTTTCTGTTTTTTTCCCTTAAATTCTTGAGGTTTTTGAAGAATTAAGGTGGGTTTTTGTGGTCATTGTTGTCAGAAGTATTTAAATGATTCTGAGTGACAAGAGTTTGTGGTCAGGAAATAAGAGAATGGGAATAAAGGTGTTATTCTTGGCTTTTGAAATTGAATGGGTATATGTTGGGCTGAGAGGCATGATAGAAAAAGCTAGTTGAGAAAAAACAATGAATCTGGTCTTGTTGGGGCTATATATTTCTTTTTGGAGTTGTTGCCTGTGAAGTTATATATAATGTAGAAAGAAGAAACATATGAACTGGAAGGGCATTTCTACACATGTACTAAGATATGTATTCCACTACAGTTTGTGCAGATCAATAGTTCAAATGAGGATGCTTCTTTTAATTTAGGTTTTACTTTATTATGGTATGTGGTTATTGCTGAATGCTTGCTCATACACTTCTTTTGCCTTTTGTTTTCATTGAATTAGTCTTTCCCATGAAAAGTCAAAGATGAGGACTTTTGATATTTTTCTTGTTCTAGAAGAACTGAATTCCAGTTTTACTATATGGTGCAGCAGAAAAACAGGAATAGAAATAAAACCAAACATAAGAAATTACAGAAAAATCATAGTAGAATAGGCAAAAATTTGCTCCTAACCCTCCTATGATGTAGTTTAAATCAAACCATCTAATTCCTATAAGCGAATTTTACACTTATACTGTCATGGAACAGATCTGACATTTTTTAAGAAATTTACCAGCTTGTGGCATAGCTAAATCAAATATAAAACAGCATTTCACATCCTCAAACTTGCTCTTTTTGTGATGCAAATCAAAAGTTTGTATTGGGAGCGGTAAAACCTGAAATAAAATGCTCAATAATGTACAAGCTGCTCATGGATGACCGATGACCTACCGTAGGGCTATCAATTTTCAACACGACACGAATTGAACATGAAATTAATGGATTGGACACAAAATTAAATGGGTCAACAGGTAAAAACGGTTGAACACGCTTAAACACAAAAAAACCATAGTCGAATTTATGTTAAAATCAGGTCGACCCGATTTTGACTTGATTAACACGTATATTTTAAACGGGTTAACATAATTCGGACACAAACTTGACTTAATCCAGTGTAGACTCATTTAACCTGTTTATGATAGTATAATTTACCTATTATGTATAACTGATGTGGTTTTAACATTATTACTTATTAGTTCTTTCTTCTACTATAGTAATTGGTAGTATAATTCTAAACATTATTATGGAAGGATATTAATATAGTTTTTGCTCTAATTTTTGGGTTGAAACTTGAATGCATTTTAGTTAATTTTATTGATGAGATATGATATGTTATTGGTAAAAAAATTATTTGAAATTTTGGATGAATGATTGAATGGTGTATTTAATGGTAATGAACATTGTGGAAACATGTTATGTGTGTTGAACAGGTCGTGTTATGTGTGTTAAATAGGTCATGTTATGTGTGTTAACCTGAAAACGACCTGTTTATTAAATGTGTCAAACATGTCGGGTTTGAGGAACCTGTTTAATGGTCAGGTTAGGTCAAGTTAGTGTTTACATATATCGATACGATTATTAAATAGTTCAGGTTCTTGTTTTGGGATTTTCAACACAAACATGAAATCAACCCAACACAAAATGATCCAACCCGACAAGTTGGACACTCTTAACCTACCGGAATAATTGGTTGCTTAGGCGTGAGTCAAAAGTTGAACAAGTTTTTGTTGAAATAAAAGTTAAACAAGATTAAATGGCTCCTTATCTTGTTTTGTTAAACTTAGTGTTTGGGCATGAAGTCAGAAATTGTTTCACTGTTTCAATGCTAAATTCTTTAAAATTTGGATGCTGAACAACTCTTCAGTGTCTTGAATATTAGGGTCGGCGTGCATTTTATAGATGGGATAAATTTTCGAGTTTTGAAGGGAGCTTAGTATTCGTTTGGATGCTAAATTCTTCAAGGGATAAAACATTCTTACACCTTGGTGTTTTCTGTCTACTTCATCTTTACCTCCAAAAGAAGAGGAAGGGGGAAGAATGTTTTACAGAATTACAGTCGAGTACATCGGTGATGGCTTAAACCTCTTGGTGCTTTCTATTGCGTCTTTACCTCCAGAAGAAGAGGAAGGGGCCTGCAGACTGGGCTGTAAATTAGGTAGGTTAGTTCTGGGTACCGTGAGATTGGTTTGCTCAGCGGCCTTGTAGTTTTTCTCAAGCTCAACTCGTGCTTGCTGAGATTTTGGGTTGTCTGACATGGTTGGATGAGTTATTGGGCTGAGCTCAGTTCTGTGGAAGATGGGTTGCACAGGCAATTGTTGGAAAATTGTCCATGGCGGAGTGTATCATACTGTCTACTTGTAGAATAATATATGAGATTGATCATTAGTGTATATTGGGATGTCCAACCACCCTATATCCTTCCTGATCATTTTTGTATAACCTGCCCAATTTAAATATGCTGCCTTTCCAATATCTTTTTTCAATATACCGCCAACCCTCATTTGGTATGCCATCTAGTTCTAGATCCTTTTCTATCTTCACCTTTCATTCAAGCTTTTATATCCTTTGACATTTCGCCAAGAATGATCTGCAACAATTTCACCACTGATGTTTACCTCCTATGTAATCTAACTCGATGTTTGCTGAAAAATGTAATTGACTGATTGAATGTATTATTCGTCTAAGGCTATTTCATTTGATTCATTTATCTTAGCTTAGGCATGTTGTTCTTTTTTAATTTCTTGTATAAAGGATCATATGCATTACAATGCATCTTTCAAAACTAGGAGTCACCATGTGCCTTGAATTTGTCTTCTCCTTTTTTGTTACTTAGTGCATATTCCAGACTTAATTAGTTTTTTTTAATTAATCACGAGGAAGTGGTGGCAAAGTGTATGTAAACATTCTGAATTAGGATTTATATTTTGCACTTGACTTTGCTGGTAATGTTGTAGGGGAAATTTGCTTATTAAAATACATTAATGCCTTTTGATATCTTCAGGTGAATGGAGACTTCCTTGACAGAACATTGGCTGCCAAATGGGGGAATGCATATACTTCCATACTCTTCTATGCATCATGGTGTCCTTTCTCACATAATGTCCGTTTGACATTGGAAGTCTTGGGTTCCATGTTTCCTGAAATTGAACATTTGGCAGTTGAACAATCTTTAGCCATGCCAAGGTGGGAGGCTAGTCCCTTATTATTTTTTAGAACACTTCCTGTTCTTATTTGGCTTGTTTTCTTTGGATAAGGAGATAATATTGAAGCTGGGAGCACCTTGTACTTCCACTGTCAGGTTATAAAAAGGAGAAGTATCATGTTCCCATCATGAGAGGGAGGGTGATTGTTAAATTATTTATCCCTGAGACATAAATTTGGTCCGGAATCTTAGGCTGTAATACATTTTAATAGCATGCCAAAAGTACACAATTTAGTTTGTAAAGCAAAAATTGCTTAGTTTATGCTCTCAAACTAACCAAACGAAATTACCTAAAATAATTTTCTGATATATACTCTTATCTAAGCTAGTAGGCAAATCTATCTTTTGGCAAGCTTATCTTGTCATTTAATATGTTTTTTGGTTTGTATTGCAGCATGTTTTCAAGATATGGTGTACATAGCTTTCCCATGATATTACTAGTGAATCAGACTTCAAGAATGCGATTCCGTGGCTCAAAAGATCTTCTCTCCCTTGTAAAATTCTATAGAAAAACTACAGGTAGTTGCTTCCTCAAACTAATTAAAGTGGTTTGGTGCTTTTGTTCAATCAGTGACCTGCAGACACTTTCAAAACCCCTTAATTCATTATGCCCAAACCCTGATTGAGAGAGTAAGATAATGTAAAATGTGGGCTTTCCTGACCTGATCTTGTGTAATTCAGGATATGAACCAGTTCATTATGAATCATATGATGCTGTGGATCAACCTATCAGTGTGGGAAGCAGTGGACAATTTGTTATGCATCCTTGGATCAGGTCATCTATGAACCAGAAATTAACAAGAGAACCATACCTAGTACTCTCTATATTGTTCCTTTGTTTGAGGGTGCTTATATTTGTGTTCCCAAAAGTCTTATCTCGTTTCAAAGATTTTTGGGCATCATATGGACCCCATCTAAACTTGGAAATATTTGGAAAGACAAGCCAAATGTTGGGGCGAGTATTTCAGATGATCAACGTGAAGAGGATTTGGACCAAGCTAAGAGTATGCAAGACCAGGAACTTCCATCAAGGTGCCAAGAGCGCACGAGTGTGGGCTTCTTCACTGGCTTCTGTCTCTCTGGGTGAAACCTCATCTTCCCGCTTATGATCCCAAGGTGGAAAGTAAGATCCTGCATCGAGTGAAATTGAGTGGATAGAGTTTCTTGTCATAATTTTAATAACTGTCATGATTGCACCATGAGTAGTCTCTCTTTCTTTCTCCATCTTTTTGTTTTACTTTTCTAATATATACATATTCTCTCTAATTCCCCAATTGTGGTGCTACTAGAGATTCGGCGAAGAAGAAGAAGAAGTCATTTTTGAGTTAGGTTTCTATATTGGGGGAGGTAACCAAGCATGTAAATTCAAGAACAGCTAAAAAGCCAAGAACATATCGTGTTGTATACTATGACTCAGGAAAAGCATGTCTATTTTGACACTTTAGTGGAATGTATGTATGCAAGTGTTGGTCTCTCTCTCTCTCTCTCTCTCATGCGCGCATACACAGAGGCACATACCCATATGCATATGCACGTGCATGTCGCGCACACGTTTGTACAGAGACATCAGAAGCCCATACTGTGCTGTGATTGGTAGCATGGATTGTAGGGAAACACACTTGAACTAATTTGATCTCTAATTCCAGTTATACCCCACTATATTTTCACCACGAGAGGTGTTGAATTCCTCAAATATTGCATGGAATTCGGGTCTTAAGAGCTGCAAATCATGGAATTCTTGTCATAGTTGACCAAATTTTTGCCGGCCCTATTGCAAGGAAGATTTTTTTACATGGCAATCTGTGTTTCATAGTGTGAAAAAGATGGCAATTGATCATTTGTTGGGTGATTATTTTTTTCCCTGTTCAGTTCTTGGGTTTAATCGATAGATCACCGATAGACAATCGAGTTGATTAGATGGTCCTGCTTAAGTGATTTGTAAATTTTGTAACGGTGATAACGTGGTGTTACCAAAAAGTTACTCCTCTTCTGATTCATCTGTAAACAATTCAAAATCAGTTAGATCAAATTCCCATAACTCTTAAGGCCCCCAACCTCGTGCCTCTAACGGGGGTGGACCTCTGTCCTCTTTTGATGAGAGGAAGGATGCTAGTTAGTTTGTGCCCTTGTTGGTATTTTAAAAAAGGGTGGGATTGGTCTAACCCCTTAAATCTTTTTTTTAACTTTATTTAATCATTTTATTTCAAACTATTAAATTTCTTCCATCTATATCTACCCTATTAATTACTAAATTTACAAAATTAAAAGACTTGTTCTTCAAGTTAAATCTGGTTTACGTAAAACAAAAGTTTTTTCGTGCTTTACGAACCTTGTCCACGTCTTCCATGGGCACCTATGAAACATGGATGTTTTGTTGAGCTTGACATATTCGTATCAGATATCGTATTGTATACGATACTCGTCGGATACTTGAGGATATATTTTTTGCGTATCCGATAATAATTAAATATTATAATATTTCACAAATATTTTTGTAGTAAAGCAGCATATATAATTTTTTAGTTAAATTTTTAACATCCATTTTCTAATTCACATACCATACAATATATTAACAAAAATTCATATTACTTCAAAGACACATGAGTGTTTTTTAAGTATTATCTATAATTACATGTTAAAAGACCATATAGTAAATCTATTACATTATAATCTTAGTAAAAACTACTTTTAAATACTAGATAAATATTAGTTTTGATTCTTTTAATTAGTCACTTTATTTTGTGAATATACCACAACGACACAATATATATTTTCTTGAAACTAAAAAGAATTATTAACTTTCCTTATTATGTGTTAAAGAAATACTAAAATATATAAGTGTTAAGTTGGTTAAAAATAACAAAAATATTAAATATATTTTATTATATCCGTATCAGTATCTTACTTTTTTTAGATTTTGTCGTATCACTGTATGTGTATCATATCGTACCCATATTTCATATTCGTATCGTTATTTCATAAATGGACACATTTGGTCAATAGAACTAAAAGTTTAGTTATTCATTGGTATTCAAGGCACGTGTATATACGAGATTAATCGTTAGTTTAATGGTCATTGTTTTATTATTGAACTTTAACGTAGTGAGTTTGAATTAAGAGTGTTAAAATATGATACTATTAGTTAATACAACACGAGCATGATACAAAAATTAGAGGGTTTAAATTTTTTTTAAGTTACATGTTTCATAAATGAGTTGATTTGATATAATTAATAAACAAATTGAGTATAAATAAAATTAGTTAAAAAATATATATAACATGACTCGTATATATACACGATTCATATACGACATGAATCCAATAACACACGATTCGTTAAATATGCTTAATATACAAACATGCATAAAATATTTTTTGAAACAAATTTGCTAAACATCAATATGAACTCATCTCACACGACACGATTGAAAGACCTGATTTGAACCTTGCCATTCCTTTTAGCTAATATGACATGATGATTGTTAAATATTTAAATTATTAGTGGTCATAAAATTTTAAAAAATACATTAGTCATAATAAAATAATGACATAACATTATATTTTTTTAGGAAGAATTACACATATACTCCTGAGATTTATACGTGCGTAACATTTATATCCTTAAAGTTTGTAAGCATAAAATATTTAGATCCCTTAAGTTTAAAATATTATAATTAGACCAAAAATACTTCAATCAAAGATAGAATATCAAATATTTTAAATTTTACAACCAAAATTTATGTTTTAGTGTATTATTTATTAAAATAAAATTAAAATTAAAATTTTAATTTTTTTAAAAAAAATTGTAATTAGTATACAACTATACTATGTATTGGAATAAAACTAAAAAATCAAACAAGGGATCCAAGTCATTCATAATAGAACATAAATTTGACATCCAAAATTCATGTTTTATTATGTCATTTATTGAAATAGACAATATAATTGTATACTAATTACGATTTTTTTTAAAAATATAAATTTTTATTTTTGATTTTATTTTAATAAATGATATAAGATAATATGAATTTTAATTATAAAATTTAAAATATTTGATATTTAATCTTTGATCGAAGTATTTTTGGTCTAAGTATAATATTATAAACTTTAGAGATTTACGTAACATATATTTATAAATTTTAGGGGATCTAAGTATAATTTATTAACATACATATTTATAATAGGACCTAAATGTTATGTACGTACAAATTTATGGCGTCTGTATATAATATTTTAAATGTCATAACAAACTTCGGATAGTTTAATTCTCTCATTTTTTTGACAGGCATTACATAAAAATTATCATCATCATATAATATTATTATTTTATAAATAAATAAAAATTAAATTGATGAATTCTATAAAATGTAATAACTATATTAAATATAATAAACAATAAAAATGTTATCATTAGAATGAATTTTTATTCGAAGAGAATTAAAACTAGAATTATGGCATTTGCCTAATTTCGTATCGTATTTAATTTTAGGGAGAATTACATTCAGACCTTTTGAGGTTTATCATTTAATTACTCAGACCCCTGACATTTAAAATATTACACACAAATCTCTTAAAGTTTGTACGCACGTAACACTTAGACCCTTGTTGTAAATATATCCGTTAATAAATTATACTTAAACTCCCTTAAAGTTTGTGGTTATATAATACTTAGATCTTTTAAGTTTAAATTATTATACTTAGACTAAAAATACTCCAATCAAATATAAAATATAAAATATTTTAAATTTTACAACCAAAATTCTTGTTCTATTATATCATTTATTGAAATAAAATTAAAAATAAAAATTCAATTTTTTCTTAAAAAATTGTAATTAGTGTACAGTTGTATTGTCTATTAAAATTTAATTTAATCATTTAAACGACCAAATTAAAATATCAAACTACTCCAATTAAATCTAAAAGTTATTGTATCCATTATAATTTGATTCCTCATTTAATTTTTTAGTTTTGTTTTAATAAACAGTATAAATATATACTAACTATATTTTTTTAAAAAAAATAAATTTTAATTTTTGATTTTATCTTAATAAATAACATAATAGAATATAAATTTTGAATGTAAAATTCATATTCTATTATGAATGACTTAGACCCATTGTTTGATTTTTTTAGTTTTATTCCAATAGATAGTATACTTGTATATTAATTACAATTTTTTTAAGAAAAAATTAAATTTTTATTTTTAATTTTATTTCAATAAATAATACAATAGAACATAAATTTTGGTTGTAAAATTTAAAATATTTTATATTTGATTGGAATATTTTTAGTTTAAATATAATATTTTAAATTTAAAGGGTCACAAACTTTAAGGGACTTTAAGTGTAATTTATTAACGAATATATTTATAACAGGGGTCTAAGTGTTATCTGCGTACAAACCTTTAGAGTCTGTGTGTAATAATTTAAATGTGAAAGGGTAGAGTGATGAAGTAATAAATTTCAGGGGATCTGAGCGTAATTCTCACTTACTTTTATCCGTTAAATTGATTCACAGTAGTAATAGAACTTTGCCTTCTCTCTCTCGCTCTCTCTCAGTCTCTCTCGCGTCGACGCCCCTCCTCCGATGGTAGATACAGAGACTAGCTTAGAGAGAGAAAGTGAAGCATGAAGTTAGAAGAGAGAGAAAGTGAAGGAAAAAGTATCCAACTTCACGAGCTCCTTTATCTGCTTAACTCTCTCTCTCTCTCTATAATATATATACACACACACACACATTATCGTTGTGATCATGGAAGTGTGCCACTTCAAAACCCTAAAAGAAAAGCTAGAATCTGTTGATTATTGGTGAGAGGGTAAGTGAAAGCTTCACGGGCTAGAGCTCATCTTTGCCGTCTCCATCTACTTCAACCAACTAGCTAACAGTTGATCAATCGTGTGATCGATTTGTTGCCACGTCGTGTGCTTTGATGGTTTTTACTTTGATTTTCAATAGGGTTTGGTCCGATGACAGGTGAGTTGTTCTTATTCTGATTATAATTCGAGTTTGAGCTTGGTGGAATAGGGGATTGTAGAGATTGATCGATCAGCGATTGCAGTAGGGCCGGGCATGGACATGCCAATAATGCACGATAGCGATCGATTCGAGCTCGTTCGAGACATCGGTTCGGGGAATTTCGGTGTGGCCAGGCTGATGAGGGATAGGCAGACTAACGAGCTTGTCGCTGTCAAGTATATCGAGAGAGGTGAGAAGGTAGTGTCTAAGTTTCTAACTTCAATTTGTATCTACTCAATCTCCATTGTTTGAGCCCATGTTTTGGTCTTATAATAACTGGTTGGTAGTTCGGTTGTTTAGTTGAAATCCGCTTTTCTATATACAGAAATTCCCATTATTTCGGGTTAATTATGTTGAAATTTGCGTTTCTATATATAGAAATTCCCAAGGTTCAGTATGTGGCTTTGTTTTGGGTTTTGAATCGTCATATATTAATGTTAATTTTTCTGTTTCAC